ATGGAGCTGAGCTTCTCACACGGGCTTCCATATCCTGCTTCAGGCCCGACTCCTCCTGGCTGGAGAAGTAGGCTTCCCATTGCGGTGCTCCTGTTGTGACATCATTTCCTCCTCCAGGACCTGCAGAAGGTGCTGCTCTAGTTTTTGTGCAACTCACTGGGTTCTTGACTCTTTAGAATAATTAGAAAGTGTATTTGTATCTCAGCTTTCATTGGAAGAAGAAAACTTCAGGGTTTTTCTTTTCCCCTCATGTGCCATCTTTTCTCCCCTCTTCTGTCTGTTTCTTCATGCCCCTCACTGCCCATGGTGGAAAGTAACTTATAGTCTCACCAGTCTTTGGAATATGTTCCCCTATTCCCGGCATCTTTGCAGGCGGGTCTCCACAGTCGGTCCCACACACACAGCGTCACTGCTCGGGTCTTGTTCTCCGAAAGTGAGGGCCCGGCTGGATGGGATGAGCATCATCTGGAATCTTGTCAAGATGCAGAATCTCAGGCTTTGGCTCAGATCCACTGAGTCAAGATCTGCATTTTCCCAGAAGCCATGCAATTCGCATGCGTGTTACTGTCCAAGAAGTTCCTAGATAACAGTAAGGAGGAAGAGGTATGCACCTTAGAATGTCACTCTCATGCGTAGTTTTTCAGATCTGATTTTTAAAATATTGATTCATGATTATTTTCATGTTGAACAGTTTAATGGTCTAGCACTTAAATATCGTGTTCTTCACTAAAAGACAAAAATGTTGGGTCTTGGTCCAGGCAGCAGAGCTGATGTTTGGCTGCAAACGGAAGTCTCTGGTCTGTCTGTTTGTTCCCAGGGAGGAATCCCTGTCTCACACCAATTTGGCAGCAAAGGTATCTATGAGTAAAAAGCCTCACTTTTTCCTTTAAAGGCTTTGTATTTTCTCAAACCCTAAAAATGACTATTTGCTTTAGGACCTAGAATTCTTGGCACATAAAGCATAGAGGAATAGTTTTGTATTCAAACCTCCTTAGGTCAGTTGTTATCACTATAACCTTGATTACAGAAAAGAGTGATCTGGCCAGCCTAGGTTGATGCAGCATGTATCCTGCTTTGCCAACAGCTGAGTATCTTGATCTGTTGGGTGGAGTTCTTTTGTGTGTTCACTTAAACAGTAGAGAATGTCTACCATAGATTTGCAAGAGTAAAATCTTTCTGATTTTTTGTAATAATTATCCAACAAATCAAGCTGCTTCTTAAAAGTCTTCACTTACAAGAATAAAATCACATCTTCAACCTTGACTGCACACTTGACTCTCTTGGGAAGCTTTAAAATATATTATTTCCTGTGTTTTCCAATAGATGCTGACTTAATGGAGGGCGCTAGGTTTCAGCTTGCAGAGTTTCTCTCGTGATTCCAAATTACGTCCAGATTCGAGAGCCACCGTGATAGGGGCGGGGTCTTATCTTCTGACTTACCAGTGTGTTCATACCCAGTGACTCTTATGGCCACATTATATTATCCAGATATGTTAAAAGAGAGATTCGCTCACTAGCTGTGCAACCTCGGTGGAATCAATTCAACTCCATAAATCTCAGTTTCCTCTTCTCTAGAATAGGGGTAATTGTTGCATTAGAAGATTTAAATAAAATGTGAAGTCTACTAAGAAAATGCCTTATATGGCAAACACACAACAACATATGAGTTGTTACAAGGAACTGTGGGCATGGCACTCTTTTGTATTCTCAGAAATGGAACTCATGTCCTCTGAACCTGGTGGTGACGTTCCGTACAGGCTTTGACAGAAGAGTTCCCTCCTGCACTGCCACTGTTGGGCCAATTGATGGGACCTGCAGGGAGCTCAAAGAGTGTTCCCAAGGAGTCCTTTATCCTTGGTTGTCTTAAGGGGGAGCAGAACGGAGCAGTGCTCGCCGAAACAGATTAGTCGTGCACCACACCTACTCACTCCTCATGGACAGAGTGACCCAACCCAGAAATCCTGAGACGAAAAGTGCCATAAAGAAATCGGAGGACACTCAAGGGGAAAGTCGTGTGTCACAAATTTGAGAATCATGCTGTTTTCCTTTTCAAAAGGGGTGTTGACACGGTGAACTACAAAACCCCACAAAATTAAAGTAACTATGCGATGAGGAATACCCTGAACACTCCTGAATTAGAAGTCTCATGGATTGTTTTGTTTTGCTTTGTTTGCATCTAATCTTAGGCTATTAATCAGCTATCTTAAATGTTTTCACTTTTTTCTTTTAAAACTCTGATAAATGTGAATATATGACAGAAGTATTTCTGCTAGGATGAACAGTGGAATCTCAAAAATGTGATGATAATATCAAAGTATACATTTTATTGAAATCAATCCCTTGGTTCTCAGTCAAAATGCTGACTTTATTCTTGAGGAAGCCATACCATGGTACCCGTGTTCTCAAATTTGCATTTTTTACAATCTGGACATTTTGGCTAAGCTGAAAAACTCCCATCAAAATAGATTCTAAAATGTAGGATTTTTTTTCTAAATAATCTCTCTGCTTGCAGAATAATTAGAATATACATACGATGTTCACTGAGCTCCGGCCTAATTCTAAACTCTCTTCCCTGCTATTTTCAGAGCATCTTTTAGAAAACAGAGGCCTACTTATGTTATTCTATCATTCAAAAAATCTGTAACAATTTCAGATCAATGATGTTAACTTGGCGTTCGAGACCCTTGTGAATCTGGCCCCAAGTTAATCTTGGGTTCTTATTTTTTTTCTAAATGTTCTGTGGCACTGATAGTGGCATCTTTGTTCATCTGTCCCTCCTGAGAACACCCTCCTACTTCATGTCAGTATTTCAAAATCATACACATTCTCTATGCCCCAGTTCAAATGCTCTCTTCGTAGTCAGTCCTGGTCCCACCTCAACCCGATGATCATTTTACTTCTCACTTATGCAGTGCTTCGTAGAGCTTCCTATCACTGCCATGGCATTAGTTATTTTCCTTTGTGTTAACAAATATTTGGTAAGCAGTATTAAATAATACTCACAGAAAAAGAAAGTAGACTTTTGAATTAGACTAGACCTGAGTTAGAGCTTTGGGTCTTGGGAAAGTCACTTCGTTTTACTGAGTTTCACCTTCCGACATTCACAAACTGAAAAGTAGTTACCAAATTCATTTGGTTTGGTAGAGGAGAGCTCATGAGAGAGCATAGATCAGCATCCCCGGTAAAGGGTAACCTATGCTGCAGTTATTCAGGTCGTGTCACCCACTGGTCTATTAACAATGCCCTGCAGCATCTTACCCTCAGTCGTGTTTTCTGAGTTGAATGGAAGCAACCCAAATTGTTAGCATCTGCTGCCTGGATCTTACTGAGCTATTAGTTTTTCAACATCTGTCTTGAATTTCAGAAAGAAATTTCCATTTTTAGGCAGCAGCAGCATTTGTGTGTGTGTGTGTGTGTGTGTGTGTGTGTGATTTCAGAGTGTCTCAATCCCACAGTGATTATCACTTGTACTTGGTAGAACCCAAGTCAGCAGGACCATAGAGAAGCGCCCAGCCCATGAGTATGTGTACTTTCCCTAGGCCTACAGGACCATTCTGTACAAAGAACTGAACAACAATGAACACTGTGTGAGCTTTGAGTGACTTTGCCCTGTGCTTGGACGTTTAAGGAGCAGCAATAATGGAGCTCGAGAAGCTCTTAATTATTCACAATACTTGGAGACAGGGGAAGCACGGGCCTAGAATCCTTGGTTTTCTCCGATGCCCAGAGTGCTGGTAACTACACAGAGTGCACTCGTGATGTGTTCTTTGTGACAGCTATTAATGCTCTTCTTTTAATTTTCAATTCGCCTAAAAGCTTCAAAAAGATATAACCACTGTTGTCTGGTAGTTTCTGAGTTATTTGCTATGGAAAGAAGTGTGTAAACCACAGTGCTTTTGGAGCCCTCTGAGTTTTTCTTTGCCCTTTTCCAATGTACATGTGATATATAGGGGAAAATATGAGGGGTGGGATGGCTCAACTTCCAAAGAAGAATGTCCTGGCCATCAGAATATAACTGCCGCAAGAAAATTATGAAACATAACTGAGGCTATGTTTTTGTATCAGGAGGAATAATTAGATTTCCCCCATCAAGATAGGTAATTTTTTAAAAAATAAAGGAAAAAAGGGGGATAGAGCTGTCAAGTTCCCAGAACCAGAAGAAACTGCAGTACTGTGCCTTGCTTCCGTGCGCAATGGTTTTCAGCACCGAGGACAGCTACCCGTGGGACTTTGTCAGCTCATCCCAAATAATTAACATTTTAAAAAATCTTTTAAATTTTCCACTCAGATTGTACACTCATCTGTATATTGTTTTTCTGGACATTAGCTATATGTCAGATCTTGATTTTTATACACAAGGACACACTGGCCAGTTACAGATCTTAAGGACAAGATGAGCAGGATAGGCAAATTAATAAATAATTTTAATATCACATGACAAGTGCTATTAGAGAGTTTTGTACAAGTTACGTGTGGGTCAGAGGAGAGAATGATTAACTCTGACTAGTGCAAAGCAAGATCTTACAAAAGAATTGACCTGTGAATTGTATCTTGAAAATTGAATGAAGTTTATAAGACAGAGAAGAAATGCCGTGAAAGAGTCTACAGTGTACTCAGATACTTCTAGAAATGCGTCTGAAAAAATAGGTTGAATGGGTGCAAAGGATTAGGACAGTTCAGGTCATGAAAGGCTGAGTCCAAGCTAATTGGGTTAGGCTCTGCCTTGGGAAATGGAATTCTACAGAACAGGGAGAAGATTTTATCAGAGTTGTCTTTTAGAAAGATAGTTCAGATAGCAGGAAAGAGAAGAGAATGAACAAAAAAAGAAGAAGAAATGAGAGGGAGGAAGGGAAGAGAGGGATGGATGACATTTCTCCATACGGTCCTGAGAACGAATAAGGGGCTGCTCCATATAACCATGGTTGAACAGAGAGAATTTACTAGCCTAACCTCACACTCGCTGCTCACCAGTACTTCTCATATGAATTGTGTCTCTGCAGATTCCTCCAAGAAAATAAAAGATGTCTTGGCTGAATTTAATGAGGGTGGGAGCCTCAAGCAATATGATCCACATAAGGTAAGCATATTTGCATGTCAAGCCTTAGAAAACCCCATGATCCATCCTTTTCCTTCCGCAGTTTGTTTCTTTCTGAGAGGCTTAGCTTGCCTTGAAGACCTTGCTCCTTGATATCATTTCTCCTGAGTTGCAAGCGAGCCGTCAGTGCCGTCTAGCATGACCTGTTTCCCGATTCCATTACCCCTCCCACGGTCCTAAAAGACTCCACCACACCTCAGCTAAAGTCTGTTACTCCTCCTCTCCTCATTTTCAGCTAACCATTGCACTAGCTGCCTCGCCCATGTGCAAACCCACCAGTACCTTTGCTCCCATAGTTAGCGGGGAGCTCTCCGTGTCCTGATCTAAGTCCAGCTGCCCCTCTTGAGCATTCAGTCCCACCCTCTACTGGCCGATTAACAGGCATAGTTCCAGCAACGCACGCGCCCCAACCCCTGTCTCTTTCGCTCCACCTCTGCTTCTGTGTGTTTCACATCCATTTTCCTGTATACATTAGATTTTTCCCACTCGCTCAAGCTACCGTCTCATTCATCTCCTGTTCTTTATAGCAAAACTATGAAAAGATTCATCTACATTGATCGGCTCCATAGTCTCTCTACATCAGTATGTAATTCCCATTTCTCCACTAAAGCCAGTAGTCGGGATAGCCAAGGAGCTCCCTGAGGTTACATCCAACAGCAGTTTTACTCAGTGGCATTGGACACATTTGGTGAAATCCTCTTCCAGTTTCCTCACTGGCTTCAGAGTACCACCTTCTCCTGGTTTTCCTTTTAGCCTTCTCCTTGACATTTCCACTTAGAATCAAATAGAGATTTCAAACCTACCAGGAGCTAAACTGATATCCTGAACCTTTCACTACAAAATAGCACTCTTCTCCATCACAACCAATGACAACTACACTCTTGAATTTATTCAGTCCAAAACCGTAGAATCATCATTACCTTTTCTCTTGCTTTCACGCCCCACGTCTAGTTCATCGGGAGACTGTGGCTTGTCCCTCCAGAACACATCCGTAATTCATCCACATCTCACCACTTGTGCTGCTACCATCCTGAACTGAGTGATCACCGTGCACTGCTCAGCTTCCGGCAGTAGTCTCTTACCAGTGCTCTCTACTTCCTCTGCCCTTTGAAGTCTATTCTTCACACGCAAACTGAGCAGTCTGTCAAATCTTAGGTAGCAGCTACTGCTCTTTTCGAAACAGTTTGCCTTGGTTCCTCCAACCCCTACTCAAAGTAAAGGACAAAGTCTTTGCAATCTGCCCTTCTGCCCAGATTCTAGCCTCACTTTTTCTATTCTCCCTGTCCTTCCCTCCTTCCCAGCCACATCAGCCTCCTTGAGGCCGTGGGGTCACCTTACTGTAACATCAGCTCCTGGCCCTGGCTGTTGCCTCTTCCAGGAATGCGCCTCCCCCCAGCCCAACCCCATTATTCATTTCCTCACCTCCTTCAGGTCTGGGTTCACATCACCTCCTCAGTGACTGTCATCATCTTTATCTAAAATTTAAAAGCCTCTTTCCTGCTACTTCCCATCCTACTGCTCTGTTTTCTTCTCCTCTTTAATACGTCTCGCCATCTGTCGCACTGTATAATTTAATTAATTAATTGCCTGTGTCTCCCACTGGAATATTTTTGTTCACTGCTGTCTCCAGTACCCAGAAGAATATCTGGCTCATAGCAGGCATTTGATAAATATTTGTTGAATGAATAAGGGAATGCAAGACTCCTTCCCATTTTACTGCATCCAGCATTTCTTGGGCACGCAGGCACTGTGCTGTGTACAGCAGAAGCACAAAGATCAAGTAGAAATTTCTGCCTCTTGGAACTTACTTCCTACTGACAGGATCAAGTTCAAGTCATGACCCTAGAGTCCCGGGGTCTTAGATTGGATTTACCCATCAGCTTTCCTCTGCTGTCCTCCTTTCCCAGAATGTTTTAAGCTCACCCACACCTTCCCCGCTCCTGGGTCCTTTTCTGAGGACCAGCAGCAGAAAAGTGACAGATCGACAAGACTAACTTAGGGAGAGCCTGGCCACTTACTTATTCACGCTGTCGTCTGTTCAACAAACCTAAGCCAACACTTTCTCTGCTGGACCCTGAGAATTAATCAGCAGGACCCGTGCTCTCAGGGCACACCTGAGAGGGGCTTTGGATGAAATGCCCCAGTCGCAGGGAGAAAGGATCGGGAGGGAAGTTGCCAGAACAGGGGCGAGATTGTGGATGCGCTGTTTCAAAGAACATTCCTGAGGGGACGCCACGCAGAGAAGATAGCAGAGCGGGCAAGGAACTCTGCCCCACACCGCCCACCCCAGCTCTGAAAGCACGGAACAAAGGCTGGTGGGGCCGCTGATCGGCCTGTCTGCCTGCCGGGCCTGACTCGTGGGAAGGGAACGGTTTGCTCAAGGCCGCTGGAGAGTGAAGGGCACGGGTGCTTTCTGAGCAGGCAGCCGCTTGTCAGTCAGGCTCACGTGGCCGCCGCCCTCGCACCTGTCAGCACCGGCCCATTCTTCATCCTGCGGCTGCTGCGGCGTCCCTGGGGAGCTCTGTCACTCTGATTTCTTTCTGTCACTCAGCGCGCTTGACTCCCCGCTGATATAATGTCACGGCACGGGCTTGGGGAAACCGCGAGGGTTTCATTTCTGGAGCTTGATGGCTTCCTGCTGCTAAAATGGTCTCAAGGAGAAAGGAGCTGGCTGTGGGAAGGGGCAGGCCTCTGGGGAAGCTGGTAAGAGAATGGCAGTTTGCAGAGGAGTGGCAGGGAGGAGCACGACCCGCTCTTCAGCACCACGAGATCCCGAGGGAAAGGTGGTGGCAGACAGGGGCAGCGGAAAAGATCCGGCCCTTCAGAGGAGCACTGCCTTGGGGCACCATCCGTCTGGACCTGGACATCCTCAGCACAAGGGACAGCTCTGTCACATGCTTTGTGACCTTGCACAAGCTATGTTGGCCAAATCTGTTTTATCTCAAAAGACACAGTCACAGTCTCCTCTTGCGTGGTTGTCTTCGGAATTGAAGGCCCCCATGCATGGTAAGCGCTCCAGCTCAGTCTCTTCCCTCTTGGGCCCACGTAGGCACACGAACGTGCTCTCTTCAAGCACTTGGCAGTGGCAGCAATTGAATAACATTTGCAGCCTCTGGTGGAAAGTGGCTCCCCTGGCCTGAAAAATGAAGATGGTGGTGATGTTACCCCAGCGCTCAGAGAACTGAGGGTGCACCTTGAAGCGGCCATCACTGGGTTCAGACGTAACCCCAGCCACTCCCTACCCTGTCATTCCTTTCCTGTTTACTAAGCAGCTACTTTGCTCTTGCCCTGTGCTCATGAAAGGCTTTCTGCAGTGGCACACGGTCGTATGGTTGCTGAATTTGTGGTACATGGAGGGAGTGGCAGAGAGCACTGCTTCGGTTCTGAGACCTGGGACAGGGGCAGTAGTTGACCAGGAGTCAGAAGCTGCGGCTTCCGGTTCTACTCTGCCACTAGCCAGCTGTCTGGGGCACATCACCAAGTCTCCTGAGCCTGGGTGGTACAAGGAGACCCGGGTCCCTGTGGGGCTCTTCTGGCTTGAATGTTCTCTTTCTGGGTTTATTCTATGCCACCCAGCTCTTCAAGACAGATGCATAAACAAGCAGGCGTGAGCTCCACCATTGCTACTCTTTATGCTTTCATAACACATGCCGGTTCTTATCCTGTGGTATTGCCTCCCACTGACCATGAATTATAGGCATCTCAGTACCTCTACTTGTATATGTAACCCTGCGTCTCTTGAAGGTATGGACCCATGCCTGATTTGTTGTTGTGTTCTCTCCACTGATGCCCAGCACCATCTGCATTTACAAGACTCTCGACACTGATTGAGGTAGATATAGATATATCCTGAATGGATCCCATAATAGGAGATGGTGACACCAGGGGCAAAGGATCAAGCCATTCCCGAAGTCTATCAATGAGGAACTCATCTTCCAAATGCCCATAAAGAAATGCAGACGGGTGATTTAGGGGATATAAAAATTAAATAAGGTATTCTCACTACCTTCCAGAAGCTCTAGATTTAGGAGAGGAACTAAGATATGACACAAATAACTATATTAATAAAGAGCTGCGTATACAAATGTCACAAGCAGGAGCTAAGATACAGAATATAGGAACCTGGGTGCAGGACATCCTTCCTGGATGAGGGATTTGGACTGGGCCTTCAAGCATGGCTAGAATTTTAATAGGAAGGGAAGGAAAGATGTTCAGGGGGTAAGGGCATAGAGGTCTGGTCAAGAAAAAACAGATATACTAGAATGGACAGGGTGTGGAGCTGCACGTGGAGAGCTCAGAGTGGTCTGAGAACTTGGAGTAGCTACAAGTCTAGTTTACAGTGGGATTAGGAGGGAGGTTCTGAATCCCTGTGGTCTCACAGAGTGCACAGGATAAGCCCTTCAACTGTAGGGACACAACATATTAGACCTTCTGCTCTACATTCATTTTTTACCTCACCTAATTGTCTTTCTAAAATATATTCTATGATGCATAGTAGAGGACAGTGATGGCAAGCCTTTCAGAGCTTTCACTGGTAACAAACAGCCGAGCCCCATAGTAGGCTCGCCACCCCTGGTATAGGAGAATAATTCCAGAGCTCACACGTAACAAACAGCCGAGCCCCATAGTAGGCTCGCCACCCCTGGTATAGGAGAATAAATAGTACACCAGCCAGCCTCAGCTCTCCCAGGCTATTCGAAGCCATGAAAGGTTTTGAGTACGGAAGTGCTCTTATCAAAGTTAGCTTTGGGAACTCAATCTGGCAAAGAAGGGTAAAACAGATGGGAGGACCCACACACAGGAAGCGTTGAAGAATCCATGGTCCAGATGAGAAGCATGAAATCGAGGTCAGAAACTTTGGTGATGGCAGCAGGGGCAGTGGACACCAAAAGGTCTGGCTGTGGCAGATGGTGCAGAGGAACAATGCACAGAAGGAAAGGGCAACTAGTCGGGAAGGTTGGGAGAATCTGCCCTTGGCATTAGCAGGACTAGCAGCCAGGAAGAGGAAGCAGTTTAGGGAGGAAGCCAAGAGACGTTCAAACACTGAGATCCTCAAGCCCAGCCCTCATCATCTGTTGAAGAAGGACCTGGGGTTCAAGCAACGTAGTAGACCGGAGACCAGGCACAGGTCCCTTGTGTCTCACACTGATCTTGTTCAGTATTCTTTGGCTTTGGTTTTTTCACAGCATTATGTTAGACTTTGTTTAAACGTTCTTTTTGTTAAATCATTTGGTACAATCTGTTTTTCAGAAACATTTTATTCCAGTAGTTTCCAATTTGATGGTTTCCAAAAGAGATTAACAGTACGTGTTGAAACTCAAGGCTACAGTTTAAAATAGTATTTGTCAATTAAAGTTTTGCAAAAAGACCAAGAGAAAGAACTTTTTGAAATAATAAATAACAATGCCATTTTCAAATATCCAGTCAAATCAAAGTAGAGAATGAAGCAAATCGAAACAAAGCAACTCCATGGAAAACAATTTCAGGAAGAAGAGAGGATGAAATGCTGCCGAAAAGCCAAAGATAAAAAAGTCTGAAAAAGCAGCAATTGAATTTATAAGCTTCAGGGGAGCAAGTTCAGAGCTAAAAGGCTGGACGCCAAACTGGATGAGATTAAAGAAGCTAATGTGCTCTGCTTGGAGATACTTGGAGGAGAAGGATGGAGGGTGAGCTGGCACCTCCATGGGAGTGGACGGCAGTGACTTTGGAATGGTAGAGGTGGCACAAGCTTGCAGGTGGGAGACACACAAGTGTGACGTCAGAGACAAAGGGAGGAAGTGAAGGCCACGGTGAATGGATGGCACCTGGGAAGGAGGAGGGGAAGATCTTGGTGTTGTTCACAGAGAGTGATGAGGAAGGGGTATTCTGAACCGACAAAGCTGTAGAGACAGCGAGTGTGAAACAGAGACATACAGACTTAGAGAAAGAGGCCAGGGGAGATGGAGAGCTGTCACAAGCACCGGGAACCCACCGTTCTCTCAGCACTCCGCTGATCAGATAAGAGCCTCTGCCTAACCCAGTGAGGCTTCTTCCACTCTGCAGAGATCTACAGAACACCCCTGCCAGGGGCCAAGCGGAAATTGCTCCGTGAGTCCCTAATGGGCTAGGAGGGTCACTTTGTTGTAGGTCGAAGACTCAGAACCCAAACTTCATTGTACCTGTGCAAATCAGCTCCTGGTTTTAGGAAGACTTACAGATCTCTTGGTACAAACAGAGGGTTAAATGTTACCCGCCAAGTAAGCTTCCCCAAAAGAGGATTTTATCCTCCTGAGTGGTATTATTCACAAAAGCCAGCACAGCGGATCTTGGAGCAGCACTTCCTCAAGGGATTTCCAGGAGCATCTGCCGCTTTGATGAAGATCCCATGCCACGAAAGCACGAGCCAGTAATGACTCACTGCAAAGCATTTTTGTTGTTTTTGTTGTTGCCTGTTTGCTGAGTGCAGCAGCTCTTGCTGGCGTAGTTGCTCCCGGCCTGGGACCAGAAGCCAGGAGGTACTGGGAGAGATGCAGCGGGAAGAGGGTCTAGCTCTTGGCACCTCTCTTGGTTCTACCTTCTGTCCTTGGCTTCCTGTTCTCCTCCTAGTGCCTAACACCTTCACAAGGACATGTTCTGAGCAGCAGCTGAGCCGGCAGCACACAGTCCTCTGTCATTTTAGGGCGGATCTCATTATGAAAGTAATGAAGGATGGAGCCTGCTTTATCCCTCCCAGAGCTCCCCTCGGGCATTGCACCGCTTATGGCACGAGAGGAAAATCAAGATAGCACAGAAGAACTGCTTCTTTCTCTCACGTGTTCGCCTGTATCCTTCTTCATCTGAGCACTGACCTTATCCCTGCTCCTCAGAGCCGCATTTCTCCCGTGAACCTGCACCAAGGCAAAGCCCTCCACTTCCAGAATGCATTTCCCATCGCCCCCTTTTGAGCCACGTTTAGGCCACATCAAGTGTCACCGAGGCCCCCCGTGGGCCCTGATGTCCGATCGCTGTGACTCCTCTTCGCTCCATCCCAGCCCTGCTCGCTGTGCCTGTCCTTCCCACCCACCCTGTGCCTTTCATTCCTGCACCCGTCGCATCTCCCCTCCCCTTGCTTCCCTCTCCGTTTATCTCACCTCCACCTCCCTGCCTCCTTTCCTTCACCCCTCCGTCTCTGCACCTCCGCTGCCCTCCACTGACTCTTCTCTTCCTGCCCCTCCCAGCCAATCAGCTACGACGTCTTCAGGCTGTTCATGAGGTCGTACCTGGAAGTGGATCTTCCCCAGCCACTGAGCACACACCTCTTCCTGGCCTTTAGCCAGAAGCCCAGGCAGGAGACCCCCGACCACCCCAAGGATGAGGCCAGCAGCAGTGAGCCTAATGGCCCAGGTACATGGACCGGCTTTGCCCACGATTGGGAGGGTGCTGAGCAGCTCCAACCTTTGCCAAGGGCACAGGCTGCATTCCTAGAGGGACCCTCTGAGCATAGCACCCTAGGGTAGGGGCTGGGACTTTTTCTCCAAGGAACTCACAGGAACTCATGTGAAATCCTTCAGTGAGAGAAGTGAAGACAGGGCTGACACCTGCCATTTTGGGTCAGAGAATGGAATGCGGGCAGGAAGGGCCACAAACTAGCATGTTGCCTAGGAGGAGCACATGCGTTATGTGCACAGGCTGTGAGTAACAGGGCTGGCAGAGGAACCAGAAGGCATGGTCACCATCTTTCTGGGGTTTGGGCTGCGAGAGGGAGACACAGTCAACTCTAATCCACCAGCATGAACCCAGCTGGCAGTAACCCAGAGTCACAGACACAGCCTACAAGAACCAGATCGCATGGGACGCTGTCCTGCCTGTCCTCTGAGAAGCTACAGGATGTAGGCTGATCTTTAAGTCTTTTGTTGCTGTCGTCATTGTTCTTCAGATTCTAACATCCAGAATGCAGATAATGCTGTCAAAGCAGATGAAGCCTGTGCCCCTGACGCTGGTGAGTCTGTGGAGTGTAAGAGCTGGGAAGGAGTCTGGGACTCGTTCTTGGGAAGAAGTAGGGTACTTCGCTAGCAGTTTTAACTCCCTAAAATTGTGTGCCCCTGAGCAGGTCTTATCCTTCAGTGGGCTGCAGAAGCTCCATCTGAGGGGCCCCTGACAGTCAAGCCTCCTGAGACCCCAAGGCTAAAGTCACGGTTCTGGCTTCTCTTGCCCCGGAGTAGAGCAGGTCAGGACTTGGGCAGCTTGCTAGTTCTTTACCTCTGACACCTCTGCCTGCCCCAAGCAGAGAAAACCTTCGCAGAAGTGTGTGTGTGTGTGTGTGTGTGAGTGTGTGTGCATGCATGAATATGTGCCAAAAGCTGGTTCTAGGGCTGAGGTACAAATGTCCTGGTTACTCTTCAGCCTAAGTTGGATCAGGAGACAGGACATACTGGTGAAGGATGTGGGCTTCAGACTCAGTCTGCCTGGATTTGGTTGCCAGCTCCAGCACTGCCTAGCTCTATAACTGTGGGCATCTTTGAATGATGTCTCTGTCCCAGTGTTTCATCTGAAAAAGGAAGATGATAATACCAGAATGCTGGATTGTCCCACAGTAACAAAGAATGAAACCATGGATGGAGAAGGTAGGGTGTAGGCAAATGTATTTAAAAGCTATTAAGGTGAGAAAGTAAAGGATACAAAGGCAAGGAGGTGAGTCTCCTGAGAGCCAGGAAGGGGTTCTGAGTAGGATACCGAAGAAGGCTCTTTGTCTAGGACTTTTTAAGGGGCCTGGAAAGAAGCTCAAGCCATTGTGTAAGCAATGTCATCTTTACCCTAAAGGAGACTGCATACTTTTCAGAGTCCAGACTTTGGCTCAGAGCCTGGAGGCATTTGTCTTTATCTGCTTAAGAAGGCCCAAAAGGTCCAATCCTGTCCAGGCAGGGTCCATGAGCCTCTGAGCCAACGGCCTGTCTGACCGTTCCCTGAGGAGGTTCAAACAGCCAAGGCACACCTGGCAGATGCTTTCATAAGCTCTCTGGAGGGTTGTGACTCAGCAGCCTCCATTTTGGACTTTCGAACTCCATTTTGGAACTGCTGTTCTTACTGCCTAGTAGAATCCAAACTCCCATCTCACTAATTCTTAATTTGTATGAAGTTTATGTGACTTCAATGTGTAAATGCTAGGGCAGTGCGGGGCACATTGGAAATATTCAGTAACATTAGCGATTATCATCCAGGCCCCTTCTTAAATTGTCGTTGTGTCGCAGTCTCTCCCTCAGTCCATACCCTCACTGTCCGCACAGGACGCCTAGCCTCCTGTTCTCATGGGAGATCTCTCACAGACTCTGTCTCCCAGCTTGCTCCTGAAGTGTAGGTGCAAAGACTCAGAGAGTTGAACCTTCTTTATCGCATGTTATCGTATTGTTGAAAATATTTATAAATACATGAAGGTGAGCTCAAGTGCTTAGGATGTGCCCAGGAAATAAGACAGTTTTAAGGGCCTGGGATTTAGCTCAGTGGTGCCGCACCTGCCTTGCAAGCACAACATCCTGAGTTCAATCCCTGGTACCAAAAAATAAGACAGTTTTATTATTTTCTCAAATATGTATAAGAAAAGAGAGAAAAGAGAGACTACAGCTGGAGGAGGAAAAACACTAATCGTAACGAGGATGAGATGATAGTTTCTTCAAATGAACTCTAGATGTAGTTCTTTTCCAGTACCGGGGATTGAACTCAGGACCTTGCACTTGCGAAGCAAGTGTGGTGCCACTGAGTTAAATCCCTGACATAGATGTAGTTCTAATCTCCATTCCAGTCACAGCCAAAAAGGAAACTAGAAGGATCATAGGGTTTTCAGTGCTCAACTGAAGTCCCAGTGATTTTTTTTTTTTAACAAATTACTCTGAATGAACAGCGGAACTTGGGTTGGAAAGTAGACTGGCCTCTGGATCATGCAATCAGCAAATTCCAGGCTACCTGTGAGACTTCACAGAACAAAGGTGAAGAGCACTGGTGCTTTCTGAGCCCTTTGGAAGCAACAGCAGCCTTGCTGAGCAGCCCAGCCCCAGGGAAGTGTGGGCTCATCCTGCTGCCCAGTCTTTTCTCAGTCTTTGGTGAGATGGCAAAGTCTTACATCTGTTTGTTTGTTTGTTTGTTTGTTTTAATGAGACAGGGTCTCTCTCCCTATGCAGTTCAGGCTGATCTCGAACTCACTATGTAGCCGAGGCTAGACTCAAACTTTCAAGGGTCCTCCTGCCTCAGCCTACTGAATGCTGGGATCATAGACCTACACCACCACACCGGGATGCAAATCTTACATCTTATGTGGAATATAGGAGGCATATTCTGTCACAAATTATTCTCATGGTAGGAAGGAAAGTGGAAAACTTTGAGATCCTACAGTCATCTTACCGCAAATTCTTTATTCAGAGAATTTCTCAGTCCAAGTATCTGGAAATTCAAGGGGAACTTGGGAGAAGGTATATTTCCTTTCTTGAATTTCCAATTGTCTGGGCAGAGCCTATTTTAGTGGCTTAAGATTCTGAGGTCCTTTGCTAAGGATTATTCATTATGTAATATTAGAGAGAAGGTGATCAGTAGCACTAACGGAAGTTTGCTGATTTGTTTGACCATTGAGCTTCTTGTGATAACTTTATCATGCAGAATATAAAAGAGGAACTTCCTGAGATCTCATCCTGGAGAAATGATCTGTGATACAACATTCTCCTTGTTCATAGGGAAAAAATCATTCCCTTCTAATCCAATCACGAAAGAATAATTATCTGACTCTAGGCCCAGAGAGATGTGTAATGTTTTTGTTCACTTTTTTGTGAGACTTGAGATTTAGAGGAGACAATCTTTTTCCTACAAGGGCTCCCTTCAATGGATGTCTTAATTGGATGCTTCTGTTCAATGGAAATAAGGGTTGGGACCAGGCAGATGCCACCCAGAGGCCTCTGCCAACAAAGGAGAGCCAAATGAATCACCTGAGATTCAGGCCATCTGCTGAAAACCCTAACCCTTTCCTGTAGCCTCAGCAGAAGCCAGAAGAGGAAGCGAGATTATGATTTGATGTGATCTTTTTGCAGCCACCCAATCAGCTCTATGCTGAGATCTAGAATGACCCACGTCAAGTATTTCATTCCCAGCGTTAGTGAGTCCCTGCTTATATCCATAAGGCAGTGAAGGTGGACTTTCAGAGTCCAGACATTGGCTCAGAGCCTGGAGCCATTTGTCTTAATCCCAGTGTCTGCTCAGGAAGGCCCAAAACTAAATGGATTGAAAAGGAAAACTTCAGTGTCCAGATTTTTATTCGGTTTCTTAAACTGTTAAGATGTTTCAGCAACTTAGAATATTGGAGTCTCCAGGAAAGTCCTGGGTTTTTCCCCCCAATTATAAAAATCATATACTCACATAGCAGAAAATAAGAAGAGTACGTAAAAAAAGGAAAAGATACAGTCCGTGCTTGTAAGGGGCCGTGAGGACAAAAGGATGAGTAGGCAAAGCGCAGAGTAATTTCAGGACAATGAAACTGCAGTGGTGGACACAGCCTTTATACATTTGCCTAAATCTGCAGAATAGACAGTGGCAAGGGGGAAGCCTAATTCGAACTCCGGACTTCGGGTGAAAATATGTATCAAAGCGGGCTCATCATCTACAACAAATGTGCTGGGCTGGTGGGGGACGTGGTGCAGGGGAAGCCAGGGAGTGTGTGGGACATCTAAAGCTTCTCTTTTAAAAGGTGTCTTTTTGAAAAAGAGAAAAGAAATAAAAATACCCACAACCCCACTAGTGCAGTGACACACGTGTGTGTTGTTCCCATAAATGTTTTTACAGAATTGGGATCACACTGTATATGTAATTCTATATCCAGCTTTGTTTTTCATTCTTTTTTCATGTGACATTATGTTCAGAATAATCCGTCAAGACTTTGGGGTCCCCATCAGTTTTAATGCACTCCCCCTCCTTTAACAGATGAGAAAACTGAAGTTGAGCGTGGCACAAGGAAAAGGCCTAGTTGTGCAAGATCTCACACCGTTTAGCACAACCCCAGTGCTAGAATCCCAGCCAGCCTGCACCCCTAGCCTGGTGCTGTTCCCACTGGGCAACCCTGCCCACCTGGAAGGCAACAAGTAAAGAAAGACTGAGGGACACGGTGAAACAAGGCACAGCTGCCCCAAAATCCCCACATCCCAGGGCTGCTGGGGCGGCACCGAGGAGAGCATCCGGGACCTAGAAGACTGCGCCGCAGGGTCCTCAGACGGCTGTAGTTAGGGTACCCAGTGTAAGGGAGCTGAGGACAGCAGTGGGCAGTGTCAGCTGACTCGGTGCTCCTGTACTCGACGCTCTCCGTGCAGGAGTGAACAGGAGTCCTCGATGGAAACTAGAGCAGCCCCAAGTCTCTCTGCGCCCTAGGGATCCATGAGTCTCTAGAAAAGGCCGCAGGGTTTCGCAGATGGCTCTGGTGAACGGTAGCTGACAGAAAGTAAGTTGTGCGTGTTTTAAGGGTTACTACTAATAAGTTCTGACACACGTGTAAAACCAACACCATGACCATTATAATGAATATGTTTACCATCTCCAGAAGCTTTCTGTAACCACTTCTTCCACCTTGCCCCCACCACCATGCAACCTCTCATCAGCTTTCTGCCCACGTGTATTAGATTGTATTCTCTGGGTTTTCTCTAAATGGAATCACCTACGTAGGCTTTCTTGACCCGGCTTCTTTTACTCAGCATAATTTTGAATGTATCCATGTTGCATGTATTACTAGCTCACATATTTTAGATGTTTAGTGGCCTAACATACAGATATTCTATAATTGGTTTATCTAGGCACCTAATAATGAATGATGGACATTCAGTTTGCTTCCAGTTTTTGGTGATTACAAATAAAATTGCTGTGACTATTCCAGTACAAGCCTTTGTAAAGACAATTTTTATTTCTCTTGGGTAAATACCTAGAAGTGCAATGACTGAGTATGATATAGTAGGTACCGTATGCATTTAATTATATAAGAAATGGGAAAACTGTTCTCCAAAGTGGCTAAAACATTTCCCACACCTAGCAGCATCTCACACACCTAGCGAGAGCTCCTGAGGCTTCACAGCGTCGACACTCAGTGGGATTGTCTCTTTATTTTCAGTCATTGTAACAGGTGTATGGTGGTCTCTCACTGTGGATTCAGTTCACATTTCCCTAATGGCCTGTAATCATGAGCATCTCGTCATGTACTTAATTGCCATCTGTGTGTCTTCCTTAGTGAAATTTTCAAATATCTGCCATTTCCCACTGCCCAGTCTTCTGTTTACTGCCTGGTCAGTTGTTTTCTGTGAGCTTTCCACCTCTACTGGGCATGGAGATATCATCTCTTTTATATATACCAGGGATTGAACTCGGGTCCTTGCGCTTGAGAGGCAGGTGGCACAACCACTGAGCCAAATCCCCCGCCCTGGGTGTCATTTCTGATGGGTCATGGAATTACAGTGGCTGAGGGAGGAAAGAGAGCATTCAAAAAACTTTAAAAAAATAAAATAGGATTCACACAGTAAAGTATAACTGCCTGGTTTTCTTGTTAGTAATAGATTTGATACTTTTGAGCTAGAAGACAGGATAGGAAAGAGTCAAAAATTTTCCCTAAGGTGGGAAATTTTGGAGAGAAAGCTCACTCTTTTCTTGTGGCACAATAAACCATTTTCTACATCCTATATTAGGCTTATAATTAGTCAAAGTTCTTTCCAGTTTCTGAAAATTGGTCTCATCATTCCCCATCTTCTCTTTTGAATATTCATTTATTTGTCTTTAAATGTACTTGAAAGTAAAGTTATGAGAGGATATATCGGTAAATGATGATTAATCACTATACCATTTTGAAATTCCAGTGGAACTAACTTCTCTAAATTGAATGGTTTCCAAAGAAGTAGGCTGAATGACATTTACCTGTTGACTACTGTATTACCGAGAGTCACTACCACCTTTTCTGAAAGTTCACAGAAAATAGATTCATTTCCTGCAAGGAAATAGGCCGTGTGTGTGTGTGTGTGTGTGTGTGTGTGTGTGTGGTACTGGGGACTGAACTTGAATTCAGGGACTTCACTCTGAGCTACATCCCTAGCCATTTTTTATTTTTATTTTTGCTAAATTGCTCAGGCTCAACTGGAGAAACTCCTGCCTCAGCCTCCCCGAGTGCTAGGATTACAGGCATGCACCACCATTCCCATCAGGGAATAGGCTTTTCAAGGGTCAGAATGAGGTCCTATCACAGAACATGAAGCTAGACTTTTAGGGCCATTGATTGGATCATTTCTATGTAACTCAAGCTTTTGAAGATATCAGTATAAGATTCTTGCATCTAGTGTGAAGAGGCTGGGACACTAGACACGAAGTGTCCTTGAACGCTCTCCTTTTCCCACCATAGAATCCAAGATGGCTGAGAAGCGGACACCAGCTAGAAGCCAAGTGGCTGCAGCCTTCCTGGGAGGCCCTGCTGCTGAGTATGCCGGCTCAGAGCCCCCCGTGGTGTACCTGAAGGATGTCGTGTGCTACCTGTCCCTGCTGGAGACCGGGAGGCCTCAGGATAAGCTAGAATGTAAGTGCTCCTCCTAGCAAGGGCTTCGGCTTTTTCCTAGAGCAGAAACTGGATCCTTTGCACGCTGGACATGGATCTGAGGTCGTGGGTATGAGTCCTGCCTCTTTGAGGATGGTTTCTCTGTCCTCTCACCAACAGTGATATAAGTGACATTACCTAGAATCCTCCCTCAGACACAATATTGGTTTTATACAAGGTAGGAAGGGCATCTGAGACCTTGGCATAGAGAACCAGAATTTGGAAAGAGAAGAGGTTTCCATCAAGGGGTCAAGACTCCTCTGAGTGGAGGCTGGGCTTCTGGAAAGCTGCTCCTCTTAATAGATTCTTTAAAGACCTTCAGCACTTGCCCCGGCTTCCCCTATGCTGTAAACAAGCAACTCTTAACCATGAGGGTTTTTTTCTGTTTTGTTTTGTTTTGTTGAAATCTGTCAATAATCTTTCTTGGGAAGGTTTGTTTCCATTTCTCCATGCTCCAGAGACCTCCAAGGTCTTTGGTCTCTAGACCAAGGGCAGTTAATTAGAGTTGAGCTTGGTTTCATGGTGCTGCAGTTAGTTTCCAGAACACATCCTGAGGAGGAGCCAGCGCTGTGGGCAGAAAGAGCCTGTGGTCTTGAAGAAGGTTCAACCCAAGGATGGTTTCACCAGCCTTTCAACATGCAGGTGCACTTTTTAGAAGAAGAGGCAGTAGGACCTTGGTTTAAAATATGTATTGCCTTTGCTTCTCTTGGGAACTTCAGTAGACATTCAAAAAAATACACAGGTTATGGTAGAAGTCAAACTTCCAATTAATAATAAGACTAGTCAATAAAAATTAAACATTAACAAGGAAAGTCTGCCAAAGGTTAACTCTGCCAAAACCAAAATGAAACAGTTTGCTCATTAGCTGAGTTTAAAATCTCCCCCATAGTTTTGAGGTGTTAACAATTGCAAGTTTTAAGTGCTAATTTGGTAACAAATGTAGCAGATTTCTGCTTTCTCCTGGCTAATGTTAAAAGTGAAATGTCAAATTATTTCCAACATGTAGCTGCAGTGAGTTTTAGGTTTTATATTTGTTAGTAACTGTCAAAGAGAATGTGCTAGATTCTTCCTATCAGCAGTGGCTCTCAGACTGAGTCTTTTTTTTTTTTTTTTTTTTTTTTATGAGACAGGGTCTCACTATGTAGTGAGACTGACCAGCAACTCACTAGTAGCCCAGGCTGGTCTCGAACTCGCAGCGATCCTCCTGCCTCAGCCTCCCAAGTGCTGGGATTACAGGCAAGCACCACCACGCTTGGCTTAGACTGAGTCCTGAAATGACAATGAAAAGAAACTTTCAAAGTTACTCTTGTAAAGCCATGCATTCTGGCACATGCCTATAATCCCAGCACTCAGGAGGCAGAGGCAGGAGGATCACTGTAAATTTTAGGTCAGGTTGGACTACATAGTGAGTTCAAGGCCAATGAGAACTACATAGCAAGACTGTCCCAGAAAAGGAAAAAAAAAAAAAGTTTCTATTGAAGAAAATTTCAAAGGCAGATAAAAGTAGAGAACACAGTGAACATCTGGGTACATGGTACCCACCTCCAACAATTATAAGGTTGTGGCCAATCTTGTTTTGTTTATGCCACCCACTTTATTCTGTCTGCCTGAGATTACTTTGAAGTAAATTCTAGGCATCAAGTAATTTCCTCTGTGAACATTTTAGTCCGTACCTTCAAAACCACAGACTCTTTGTTAAACAGAGCCACGATACTATTATCACATTTAAAAGTTATTCCTTACTATAATCAAATAGGCAGCCTGTATTCATATTTCCCCAATTATCTTTTTTTTTTGGGGGGTGGGTACCAGGGGTCAAATTTGGGACTTTTTACTTGTGAGCCAGGTGGCAGCGCTACTGAGCTAAATCCCTGCCCCTCTCAATTATCTTATATATTTTTTAATTGTTTAAATGACGGTCCAGCTAAAGTCCACACATTGCCATTAGTCATGTGTCTCTTTGGCCCCTTCATCTTTTCATTTCTCTCTCTATCCTTAGCTGAATTTTTTCCTCGCAACTTTTTGTTGGGGAAATTCAGTCATTTATTCTGTAGTTTTCATTTGGGGTTTGCTTTTTAATTAATCACATCAACTCCTTCCTTAATTTTAATGATTGGAAACAAGCGAAGCTTTTCTTTTAAAAATCAAGTGTGTTTGGTTTTGGAAATCTTATTCATAAGTCTCATCACCAAACACCTTATATGTGCTAAACACTTTCAGTACGTCTGGATCTTTCAGCCTCACCATACCCTGGAAGGATTACATTATCCTCATTTCTCAGGAGGGTTTCAGGACTTGCCCGAGGACACGGTGCAGCTCTTTCTGGTTTTATTGCTCACGCACCACAGAGCTGGAGGGAAGTCAGGTTAAAACTCGCCCGTGTCCACAGTCCTGGTACAAGGCTGGTGGGAAGCTCTGCCCTTCCTTGTCATCCACCCACCCACCCGACCGGGGAGTGAGAAGTGTGTTCTGCAGGCTGCATCCCCCCTCGCGGGACATTCTGAGGAGTCACACAGAATCAGAGCTCCACATTTAAAGAATTTAAGACTCCAGCCAGGTACACATCACTGAGAAAAGAAAAATACAAGGCGCGTGGACATTAGCACATCTAGGAGGAAATGATGGCATGAAGGCAGCTTAGTATGACCAGGTGAGCTTGTGCTGAGAGACCCGAAGGGTTTGCACCTCAGCAGCGTCAGTGCCGGGAGATCCACAGGACAGCAGGCGAGACATGGGTTTAAAGAACAGGAGCAGAAGGACGGCCTCCCTCAGGCACAGCACAGATGGTGCTCCTGCTCTTTGAGTGAATTAAACAGAGTTTCCAGGTCCTGTAAGTGAACACTGAGTTGTCAGTCCAAATTTCCCTCCCAGGTCTCCCTTAGCTGTGTCACCTCCTTGCAGCTAGAACGCAATCGAAGATGCTTCCAAACGGCATAATGACATTTTAGGAAGACAGATGTGCCAGGTGGTGCATCCCTAATCTGAAAATCAAAAATCTAAAATGCTCCAGAATCTGAAGGGTTTGAGCCTTGATACCATGTCACACGTGGAAAATTCCATACCTGACCCCACGTGACCAATCATACTCAAAGCGCAAATGCACTAAAAGTGTTATACAGATTACTTTTGGGTATGTGTATAAGGTACTCATGAAACATTCATTAATTTTATGCTTGTAATTTGGGTCCTGTCCCCCAAATGCCTCATTATGTATGTGAAAATATTCCTGTTTTTTGTTTGTTTGTTTTCTTAAATCTGAAATTCAAAATAATTCAGGCCCCAAGCTTTTTGAATAAGGGATTCTCAACCTTAACCATTTCTGCAGTAGTAGCTAGCTCCTAGGATTACTGAGGATTCAGTCTGAAGTGCACACATATGATGGTACCGAATACAAAGGAAAGGCTACATGTAGATGTTCACTGATAAAAGTAAATGAAAAGAAACAGCATCTGTTGAGCACTTTCTGTATTACAAGTACTTTCAGCCTGGAGTACCAGTGGCATAATGAATCGTAAGAATAACGCTAGGAGAAAAAAGGGACTAGAACTCCATTTTATGGATAAACAGAGCCCAAAGAAGAGCAATAACAAGAACACACCAGGATGTGGATCTGCCCAGCTCCTCATTCTTTCTATGTGCAAGGAAGGCAGCAGCCTGGTGCCTTCACCCTGCCACCAGCTGGGGACATGCTTTGGGTTGTGTTCGAGAATCACCCTTGTGGGGCCGGGGATTTAGCTCAGTGGTTCCACCACCTGCCTCGCAAGCACAAGGAGTTTGATCTCCGGTACCCCTCAAAAAAATCACACTTGTGGCCTGCTTCTCATCAGACACAGGGTTTCCCCTAGGCAGGCTTGGTCGTCCTTCCTCTTCTTGCCCTCTGAGTAAGGAAATTGAACTCTGTACCTTGGAGGAAGCAAGGCTGGCTGCAGCAGCCTTCACCCCAGTGAGGTCCAGAACTGATCCAGAAACTGCAGTCTCTGGTGGCACCAAAACCCCAGCCCACCCCTGGGGGTCAGAGGACACATCAAGCCTGACCTCTGTATTTCTTGCAGTCATGTTTCGCCTCTATGATGTGGATGAGAATGGACTCCTGGACCAAGCGGTAAGCTCGGACTCTAAATATCCCTCCTGGGTGTGAGAAAGCTGGGGGAGTGGAGAAGAATCTGAAAACTCTCAGTTCCATCTCTGTGGGGATTTCAGAATCCCTCACCCTCTGTTTCCAAAGAGCAGCCTTGCAGAGCACGAGCTATGGTTGTCCTCATTCTAGAAACCTGGACTCATACAATCTCAGAATAAGGAAATGTGTTGTCACTCATTCTCCTAACTTAACTTCTCCATTCACAAACTTCCACCGAAATTTTCTGTTGGACCCCAAGAGCAAGAGAAGGGTGTCCAGGGAGGTAACAAGCAAGACTGGGGCAAGGAGAAGGGAGGTCCGTCCTGGTGGGCTTTGTCGTCGCCCAGTGGCATCCTCACCTTCCTGGGAGGCTGGGTCTCTCTGCTCTGGACATTTGCTCCCACACCCACTGAACCTGGAGAAATCTGAAACTCGCTCACCCCTTCGGAAGGGGCAGGGACCGGTCAGGGACCAGGGAGTGAGCAGAAGAACAGAAAGGGAACCAGGCAGAGAGAAGGAGGCTCAAAGTCAGATAGGGCCGGTAATGGATGCCAGAGCGGGAGCTTCTGAAGGGTTCTCATTAGTGGTGGGACTGAGTCAGACCAGAGGCAGGGAGGGAGGAATTCAATTAGGCCAACTGAATCATACCAGCTCCCTTTATCCTTGGGTGCCTTTCACCACACTGCAAGGCTGCGGGTTGAGGAAGTTGAGGGACCAACCAGAGAGTCACCAACGCTAGGCATTTGGCCAGCGCTTGCTTACTGAGTGTCAGGTGCTAGGCACCGAGGCTGCGCTGCGGTAGCCAGATGACAGAATTCCCTCCCTCAATGTGGTTTCCGTTCTCCACGCTAAGCAGGACACCACGTTGGCCAGAGGCGTGCGCTAAGAAGAAAGACAAAGGAGAGAAGGGAAGCGTTGAGCGGAGCCTCCGCTTGGGCTAGGGCTCCAAGGAAGGTGTCCCCTGGGAAGGGACATCTGAGCAGAGCCCTGGAGGAGGAACGGGAGTAAGCAAGGGGCGGAGGAAGCACTGAGTGCCAAGGTCCCGAGGGTGCCTGGGGGGCCAGAGGATTGACGGGGAGGGGTGACTGGAGCAGGACTGGAGAACAGAACAAGTCAGCGAGGAAGCAGAAGGGAATGCGATGGGAGAAATTAAGGGACGCGGAGTGTGGAGGGTGGGGGCATCGCCAGGCATAGTCAGCCCTCCAGGCTACTGAAAAGGTTCATCTTTCTCCGGAGAGATGCAGAACCACGAAAGCGTCTGAGCAGAAGTGACAGGGTTCACTGGGATGTGCTAATAGCATCACTCTGGCTGCTACGTCGAGTGTAGGCTGTAAGGAGCTGTGGACATAGTCAAGGTGCAGCAGCGGGGACAGTAGCGACCCTGCTGGGGTGAAGGCATGGGATGTGGTAAGAAGCGGTTAATGTGTGGATACGTTGTAAAGGTGACGCCAGTGGACTGAAACGAGTCTTAGGCGAGTTACTGATGCAGCTTCTCGCCTGGCGTGCCTGGCTGATGGGCCCAGCGTCTTTGGAACCCCCGGGATGGAACGGCCAACTACTAGCTTCAGACAGCCATTCCCCTGCAGGGCTTCCTGCTCACAGGACGTCTCTCTGTCTGCCAGGGCAGTTTTCAGTGACAAACCTGCTGCTCCTCTGCCTCCCTCCAACCCAGCAGGGAGGTCAAAACGGGCAGACCCTAAAGTCCTTTGTTTTCCCCATGCCTCAGCTGCTTCTGCACCCCGTAGCTGATGAAACTAGTGGAATACCTGTTGTCGTCCACAAGCCCTCTCACAGAACAAGGTTCAGGAGCTCAGACTAGGAGGGTAAGGCACGGAATCACCAGGCAGACTCCGGGGAGGTTTCTGGAACGCTTCCGCTTTATTCAGGAAATGCACAGGCTTACTTAGGGACGACCACGGGGGAGGAGCATGGGAGGAGCATTTATCATCTGGCGATATCTTATTGGAGGGCACAGTGGAGTGATTTTTCTTGGGAGAGGCGAAGGAGTCACGGACTAGGGGCGGAGGTGTAGCCGTTGGACTCCGCGTCTACACACTTAGGTGAGTTAGCTCAGCCTTAGCAAGGTCTCGGAGTTAGCTCAGGAGACAGGAGTGCAGCGCCCCTGGCCCAGCCAGGCTTGAACTTCTCCCACAAATACCACAGGCCTTGAGTATCTGAAGGCGCTGTAATACATCCCTAAAATCTTCTCCAAGTCAGAATTCCCCTTTGCCCACACTGTTTCTCATGAGGCGGTTCAAAATATCCCCTCTGGACAAGCGCATCTTTGTCAATGTCATTCTTCAATTGTGGCGGAGAACAGACTCACCCCTCCCTGACCCTTCATCCGAGTGTGGCTTTGCCGAGGTGGACACAGTTCTGTTAAAAACCTGTCCACTCTACTTCCCTTTACACCACCCATGCCTGAGTCTAATCCTCGGCACCTGCGTCCCATTCCTCTGAATCTTGGGCCCACGTGAATCCACAATCTCTTTTCACTGAAACTTCAGCCACACCCTGACTTCACTTTTCTGCCCACTTCCCACTTCCTCATCTTGCTACCTTCCTAACGCATGCTATAGTTTGGGTATGGATCATTATTTTAAGTGCAATTCCATTTTGTAAGACCCTCTTGGGTTTTAGCTTGCTTGTTTTGATCCAGCTTTCTTCCTGTTGAAAGTGATACTTTTCGAACTTGCTTCAGCTCGTCCACCTATCCATCCAGAGAAATTTTAGGTAGTGCCCACATGCAAGATGCTAACTTTGACTCCAAATATTCCCTGGTCTGATATGTTCAGCTTTCCGTGCACTCTCTCAGTAACACCCAATAAATCTATGAGATTTTAGGTAGTGCCTGACCTTGATAAGGAAAGGCTCACTCATCAGGCAAATGTATCCCTTATATATTTCCTATTTCCTATTCATAGAGTCCTGGATTCAGGGCTGGGTCATGGTACAGAAAGAAGAGGAGTTTCCAAAAGTAAGCAAAAGCATCATGCCTGAGCTAGGACTGACACAGTAATCCAGTGAAACTGACCTCTGAGAGACGCAGATGGAGCTGGAGTTGCTAAAGCTGTTGGGGTGAGAAAGCGTAAGAGAAGGGAGGAAAGACCACCTTAGCTTATAACTATCTGTGGTATGATGACAAAGGAGAAGAGAGGAGGACACTCTATGCTTTCCAAGCTAAAGACAGAACACAGCAAAGGAAGCTGGGTCGGGTGAGACCAGAGGAGCCCTCCGTTCAGTGAGCTTTCTGAGCACACAGGCTCACCCATGCTCTGTGCTTCCTGTGAACATCTGCTGTCCACCGGTGTCCTGGCCAAGGCAGAAGCAAGTAGTGAGACGCTTGTGAAATGCCAGTGTACTGCACCCATTTCTTCCGTGCTCTGCCCTGCACACCTTCTGGCCAGATTTGATTTGGGGCTGTGCTGTTGCTGGCGCATACCTTGGGCTGTCTCCACTTGACGTCTCCCCTCTTGCTATCTTCAGGAGATGGATCGCATTGTCAACCAGATGCTGCACATTGCCCAGTACCTGGAGTGGGATCCCACTGAGCTGAGACCTGTGAGTTTCCCTAAGCGAGGGGTGGCTGCTGGTGTGCACTGCGCAGGGGCTCCCGGACCCACCTCTCACGTGCAGCTTCTCCAGGGACCCCACACACAACAGTAATTGCATGTTGGGGCTCCGATATATCAGGCATTATATTAGATATTTTATATGTGTTTTCTATAATACTTATTACAGTGTTGCAAAGTCATTTCCGTTTTGGGTCTCTCACTGTTCTGCTCATTCTAAATAAGAGGGCAAGGGGGAAAGCAAAAAATTGAACAATGTAGGGTTAAAGATTAAGCAGAGGCTAGAAGGGAGGTACAAAAGTCAAGGATGAAAACAGACAATTGCTCTTCAATTCACAGATACTGAAGGAGATGCTGCAAGGGATGGACTACGACCGGGACGGCTTTGTGTCTCTGCAGGAATGGGTCCATGGAGGAATGACCACCATTCCGCTGCTGGTCCTCCTGGGGATGGACGAAACCGTAAGTCAAGAAACCTTGGAGGGTGTTCGACCTGCTTCTGAAGAACTCATGGGGTTAGGATATCCCACTCTTGAGAATAAAGATCTGACAGAAAAACCTAGGTGGATGTTAGATCTGCCACTCGTGGTTGGGTGTGACTTGACTGGTAGAAAATGGTAGAAGACAGAACTTGTAGCAGGGAGAAAACCTAAATGAAGGCAAGTCTAGGGAAATCTCCCAGTTAGATGAGAGTAGGCGATATGGATAAAGGCTTAAGGTGAAATCAGAGGTTAATGCCTGTGTCTGATCCAGCCAATTACTGGATTTTCTGCTTCCTTACCAAGTGAACCAATTTCTATATATGAGATAGGAAGATTCCAATGAGGAAAAGCACAAATGGTGACATTACGCCTTCATCAGGAGAGTCACAGTGGTCACGTGACAGCACCTCTTTGAGAGAAAAAACAAAACAGGAAGTAAGAGTTGGGTTAACCTCTAGCTGACTCTTACAGTCCACATCTCCATCCAGCAGTTCTTCGAGTCAGGACTAAAGCGGAACCCTCATTCCCCAAACTCACAGTCTAAGAATCCTACAGTCATCTCATAGCACGGCCAGCTCTTCCCAAGTGCTAAGTGGAAATCAGAGCTAGCACAACTCCCTTCTCAGTCATTAGAACTTCCCTGGAAAGTCCTAGCTGGAGGTGTCCCTTGCGGTCCCCGAGTCTGTCCTCCGTATTCTGCAGAGGCCCAGGGAGATCAAGCACTTGCTCAAGGGCACACACCAGATCAACAGCAGAGGCCATTTGCCACATTTGATAGCCCTGCTCCCCTCTTTTAGTTTGAGAACCCACAAGAGCTGGTTGCGCAGACAAGTAAGAGAGACTTCTACGGCCAACACTCTCTCGAGATTCCAAAACAGCAGCGCCTGTGAAAAACAACTATAAATTACATCAGAAAAGTGGAAAACAAAAATAAATGTAAATTTAGCTTTTACTACTCAAATATGTTATGCATCTATTTTTAAATAGGTATGAACAAATTTTTAGCATACAATATTTTGGGGTTTCAGAGAAAGCCTCCATCCATATGCTACTGCTTGTTTGGCTTTTTCAAAACCCACAGGTGACCGCTGAGAAATCAGTGGCTCCCTAAATGGGGTCTATGCAAAGCAATCTTTCTGGGGAAATTGCAGCAGGCGCATGAGACCTGGATGCGCCTAAGGAAGGTCCCTCCTACGCTGCAGCCTCCACTGTGTAGAAATGAAAGAGCCACATGATGGCGCTATAACCCAAGCAGAAATTAGCTGACAACTGATAGAAGTATCTTCCGTTAAAATGAGAGCCCTTTGAGCTGCATGAAGAAACCGTGCTGTTCATAAAGGAAGCCCCTGCACTGAAAGGAGGGGCTTTGGCCCTACACAGTCCCCAGGGTGCCCACGGGTCTGTCACTTACACTCCATGTGAGCTGGGACTAGTTATATAACTTCTCTGCGTCTCACCTGTAGACTAGAAATTAATCTTTCTCCTTCCTTGCAAATATACACTGTAGTTATTTTTGTGTTCCCCAGCATCTGGTATGAAACAGGAGTTTAATAAAAGTTTTCATTCACCACTGGCCTGGAAGTGAACAAGGGAATGCATTTACATTATTTCATTTAATTCTTACCCCCCCAAAAAAATCCCTGGAGGTAGATGTTTGCCAAATCATTCAATCCCTCAGTCTTTTGGTGACTCATTATCCATTTGTGAATCTATTCACTAAAGTGGAGACCCTCAGATAAAAGTGGAAGAAACAGGGCTTGGGGAGAAAAAAAAAAAAAGAGCTTCACTGGCCCTCAAAGAGGAGAAAGGCACTTAGGAAAGAACTTGGGCTCCTCCGGGGACCACAGCATGGTCACCAGAGCCATGCCAAAGGTGCCCCGGGGTGAGGACTGGGCTTGAGCCCCTTACTCTGACTCATTGCAAGCCATGGGTCCTCATCACCTTCTATCATAGTTGTCACTGCCCTTCCAACAAGCCTGAGCTTCACTCTTGTGCTGGAGCCCAAGAAAGGTGCAGGGATGGCACTGGCCTAGAGAGATGGCCCAAAGCCACAGCTTCAAGCCAGGCTGGACTTCCAGCATCTAGAAGGTGGGGGGCTGTGGAATAAATAAGTCACACATGTATAAATGCCAAATAGATTCTCTGGTGTGAAAAACTGTAATAGTACATAAGATCCTAATGATATAATTGACCATGTGAAATAGGAAGAAAGGGGATAAAGGAGCAGGGGAAATGGGAAGGGTAGGGGAAAGGAAATAAGGGAAAAGGGAGAAAATGAGAAAATGAAAAAGATGGAAATAAAGTGTTTGTAAATGGGGAGGGAGGAGGGGGTGAAGGGAGGGCAGGGACAAGGGGAAAAATGAGAACCAAGACCTGTCATGTAAAGGTACAAGACCCAATGATGAATGTAACTGTACTGTATAACTAGAATGTACCGATAAACTCAGAGAGAAGTAAAATAAAATAAAAAGTAACTTGCTTTCCAAATATGAATTGAGCATCTGTCTTAGGAAGGAAACAGAAAGGGCAGATGGTGGCTGCTCCTAGCTGGGGATGACCTCCCCGGGTCTCACTTCCTGTGACCCCTGCAGGGCTGCACCGGGGACGGGAGGCACGCCTGGACCCTGAAGCACTTTAAGAAGCCGACCTACTGCAACTTCTGCCACATCATGCTGATGGGGGTTCGGAAGCAAGGCCTGTGCTGCACATGTGAGTGAGCTTCCTTCCAGCCCCTCCGCTAGGCTCCGTGTTGCCCTCGCGTGTGGCTGGCCAAGCCACGCCAGGAGAGGCCAGCTGTTCTGGGTCTCAGCTGGGGGAAGAAGGCAAGGCCTTTGTGTGCGGTGTTGACTCTGCTGAGTCAAATGGACCAAACATGAACTTTCGTTGGAGTTGGGGCCCAATGACCTTCTAGGAAAAAATGCTGAAAGCGTATGCATAATTAAAAATCATCTCCACGGTTCTGAGTTCAAGCCCCAGTACCCCCCAAAAAAATCATCTCCTACCAATTTTAGCTGGGGTTTCTAGTCCATGTTTGTTTCAGGTGTGTTTAGAGGCCCCTTCTTTTTAATCAATCAAGCAGCGTACTGCATTCTAGGTTCTGTGAATGTGACGGGAATTAAAATCATACATTTGTTTCATTTTATAATCTTACCTAGTAAAATCAAGGGGGGAAGGAGGGGGAAAAAATCATAAGTGGGGGATGGGAGATTTTGAAAAGAGAAAAGGACACTGAAAAGGCAAATAAGAGGAGATGGAGGAAATGAGGAGGAGTGATACAGGAAAGAAGAGCAGGTGGGGAGCAGGAAGAGAGGGAAAGGGGCTGCAGCAAGAAGGCTTCTCGGCGGCCAGAATGCGGGGCACACAGGAGCCTGGCAACCGCCTCATGGTACAGGAGCCCAGAGTCTGGAGAGCTGCTGTGCAGAGCCCCTTGCATGGCCCAGGTCCCCAACGTTCCTGTCACACGTGCCGTTCACCCAGTAGCAGTAACAACAGTGATAACTCTTGGAACATCGACACTGACCCAGGCTTCACACACATTTTTCCATGTAATGCTGCAAAATTCTTGAAAAGAGAGAGAGAGGTCCAATCAGGCCCATTTTACAGAACACACTGAGTTTCAGCAAGGTCACGCAATTCATCCAAGACCGTATGGACTGTTACAAATGGCAGAGCCAAAGACTGGGCCATGCCTGCTTGGAGACCCCTGGTCTTTCGGCCCCACCCCACCACCATCACTAAGCAGTGCTGCAATATTGGTGCAGCCAGCCCAGAGGACACCTCGTACTCTCCCATCTGTGGACAATTTCCTGCCCACAGAGGAACCAGTGCGAGGCACAGAAGCAGAATTGGAAGCCAAGGGCTCTGTTCAAGGAAAAATGGGAAGCAGTTGAATTTCCTGTAGTGAGGCCAGCTCCCTATGTCCCCTGTCCCTCCCCAGCCACCCAGCAGGAAGTACCGGCCTTGGCTAAGGTGGGAGGCTGGCTGGTGTCACACACAAGCATCTTTTTTTTCCTTTCAGACTGTAAATACACTGTCCACGAACGCTGTGTATCCAAAAACATCCCTGCGTGTGTCAAAACATGTTCAAAAGCCAAAAGGAGTGGCGAGGTTGGTGGCACCTATTGCCTTGTTCTACTGCATGCTGCATCCGGGACAACATGTCCATCACCATGGATTCCTAGGCAGGAAGGGGCTTGGGAGCTTTCTCCAGTCCCTTCTGTGCCTGGAGGACAACCCTTAAACCATCCCGTTCATCCATCCATCTGTTCGGCATCCCGACACCCGTCATGTGCCAGGCACTGTACCAGGGGTCCTCAGGTGATAAGAGATGGTCCCCGCTGCCCAAACGCTCTGCCGTCTTCAGGGAGACACAGGTCCGTGAGCAGAGCTCAAAGTAGTGAGATGCCTGCTGTCGTGATAGGGCTGTACAGAACTGAGTTGAGGCACCGTGGAGAAACCACAGCAAGTTTCACAAAGAAGGTGGCGTTTGAGTTGTACCTTGAGCCACATCAGAAGGATTTCATGTGGCAACAAGGAGGACAAGGCACTCCGGGTAGAAGGTTCCCCGGGCTGTAAAGGCATGGAGATTTATCTCGTTCCAGGGTCCGTACTTACTTTGATATGGCTGGGACAAAGGATGCTTAAAGGAAAGAGGCAGGAGATGTGCTCAGAACGCAGTGAGTGACCTGGAGACATCTCACGAGGTCAGTGGAGAAACTGGAAAGGAGTTTCCTGAGCACACGTGGGACTCACCGGAGAGCTTCTGAACAGGAGAGATGATCTGTCTGCAAATTAGGCAAATTGATCTGAGCATGGAGTAGGACAAAAATAGAGGGAGAGAAATTCCACCAGTATTTAAAGCAGAAGGTGGTGCCACCCTGAGGGCCCACCTGAACTGGGTCTGTCCTCACCCACTGTAGTGTGATCGTAACTGGGTTTCTGCTGAGCGCCTCCTGAGCCAGCCTGAGAACCCCAGGCTCAGGCAGGAGGTGAAGGGAGAGCTTGAGAAGTAATCTGGAGACACCAGCAGCACTGGTGATACGGATGCTGAGGATGAAGGAGGAAAGAGGTAGAGAACGGCCCCCAGGTTCTATCCTGGCCATTCAGTGGTGCCATTCGCAGGTGTAGAAATAGCCGTCCTTAAAATGAGGGGACTGGCACTCTGCATTATTGCTGCACAGGGAAGATTCCATCAAGGAGTCTGAGTCAGCAGGTGAGAGGTACCAGCCCTGCCACCCTGTGGGAAGCCTCCCGAGAAAGAGGGACCCCTGAGGACTCGCGTGCATGCCCCACGGACCCCGCATGGCCTGTTGTCGACTCCACCTGCGCCGCCCCGCCCACACCCCTTCCATGCCCATGCCTTCCACCAGCACACGCAGTGCACCTCCTGGGCTCCCGTTCTGTGCCTGCACTCGGGCCGCCTGCACACAGAGCAGAGGGAGGGCACGGAGAGCTAGCAGGGCACGCTTAACTTTCTGAGCATAGAGACAAGCCGGGTCCCTCACCTTCCTGTCCCAGGGAAGCTGGAGAAAACAGTCCTGGGCTGGAGTCAGAAGACCCGGTCATGGGTCTTGGCCACTTGCAGTCTTGGAACCTAGGGCCAGTCCTTATCCTCCCGAAAGCCTCAGGTGTTTCCCTCCTCAAAAAGGTTATAATCATCATCTGAGGCCAAATTCACCGTGACCACGTAGATGTCAAATGAGTCCTCTGTGCCCTCAGTGGCTTGTGGCAGAAGGCAAATGGGACACGTCTTTTGAAGCAATTATTTTTACAAAAAAACTTCCCCAGGTGGGAGACGTCTCACAACTTAATTGCTAAGTAATTTAAAACATTTCTTCATAGGTACCGCAAGCACAGATAGTGTTATGCAAATCATTTCATGTTTTTATAAATTGTGCCTCCTCCTACAAGGGGTCCACAGCCACTTCCTGCTGCCATTCAGGTACTTTGGTAGAAATTTTTAAAAAGGTCTCCTGAGTTGCAGGGGCGGGGAACTGAGAGCAGTGGCTCCCAGCAGAGGTCTCCAGGCTCCTGCCAGCAACCCTCACATGGAGGGTACACAGCCTGCTTCCTGAGTTCCTGAACTGGTGGCATTTCCTGGCCAGGGAGTTGATACAACCAGCTCTCCAGAATGCAAGTGTGAAAGGTGTCCACAGGCCCCTCACTGAGTTCTTCGGACTTTTGTCTAACCTCCTCCAACAGTGCTTCTGAACCTTGGCCGTGCATCTGAAGCGCGCCTGTGGTGCCATCCCCTGGCCGCCACTGGTGCCACCTGCAGGGACTCTAATTGCTCCGGAGTGTGGGGTGGGCACTAGAACATCTAGAAAATCCCTGGGGGGTTTACTGGACAGCGAAGGCTGAGGAGAGGGACTGGAGTTGCCCAACAGTGCCTCCAAGCGTGGGGGCTGCTCCAGGGAGAGCTGCGCCCAAGTGTGTTGCTGCATTGCTGCCTCCCAGCCACCCCGGACAGGGCACTTTGCATGCTAACTTCCACACAGCAGGGATCCAAGACTCAGAGAGGCCCGGGAACTGGCCAGAGGTCACCCAGCTGGGAAGTATAAGATCAGTGACCCCAGCCAAGTCTGTCTGCAGCCCAAGCCCTCCCTGCCCCACTCATTGAGCTGACTTCCAGAAGCACCCATCACTCCACAGGGAGTTCTGCAAGGACAGGCAGCTGGACGGCCAGAGGAGGTGCTGCTCAGTGGCTTGTCTGCTAGGGGGAACAGCGGTTCAGAATTCAAGCAAAGAGGCTCTGAACCCACCTTGATTATCACTCCACTGGTTAGGCAGAGAGGACACTAAGTAGGGTACCACCCACTCTGGCCCTCCCGCTCCGGGCTCCTGCCAGACCTTTTGTAGCCCAGGGCCGGAGGGCTTGGTTCTGCTGCCTTCCCTGGTATCCTCCGCTTCCCTCCCGCAGGTGATGCAGCACGCGTGGGTGGAAGGGAACTCCTCCGTCAAGTGTGACCGGTGCCACAAAAGTATCAAGTGCTACCAGAGTGTCACCGCGCGGCACTGCGTGTGGTGCCGGATGACGGTGGGTTGGTGCCCAGGGCAGCCCTGCATCTTCCTGGTGTGGGTTTTTGCGCAAGCTGCAGCTCAGGAGCAGTGGACATCCTGCCAGAGAGCGAGAGCAGAGCCAGGGGAGCAAGGCTGGGAGGTCCCCATCTAACAGTGCACCAGAGAGAGACCCGCCCCAGAGCAGGGCAGGGACACTTCTGTGACACTACCAAGAACACTGTCTGGCCAGGCGGCTGAGAACGGCAGGCTGAACCATGATTGTCTTTGTCTGGGCGTCCTCTGGGGCCAGGGGCACTGACAGAGCAGTGGAGGGATAGGCTCTGGAGCGCCTGCTCTTTAAGACACTGGAGGGATAGGCACCTGCCCTGAGGTCGCACTGTCTATAGCCCCCACCCTCACTGCCTGGCCAGAGCCCTGGGCCTGCTGCCATCAGCCACAGCATAGGAGTCCACAGCACTCGGGATAGCTGCCAATAAGCTGCCCTGCCTGCCTGCCAAAGCCAATTTAAGGCCCCGTCTTGTCCCAGGCCAGGTATCAGCCTCAGAAAAGACTGTAGAGCTCTCCAAATGCACAGGCTGGGTCTCGGAGTCTGGCTGCGGCTGCCTTGAGTTCGCTCCCTCCTGACAGACATCCGAGGAGGGAGCTCTGAGACCAACATGGGGTGCCACACCGAAGGGCCACCGGCCTGCTCGTGACCACTCGGCTCCCGTAGCCAAGGGCAGCTCTTGGTCTCCTTTGTTGGCCCGCAGCAGATGGGGCACCCTAGCAATGCACATGCACACACACACACACACACACACACACACACACACACACACTCGGCAGTCCTGCGAGAGCCAGCGGTGCCTCAGGATTTGGGGGGCATAGACAGCTGGCCTCCCCAGCAAACCTCTGGACCCTAATGCCTGAGGCTTCCTGGATCACCTCTGCTCATTCGCACCTCCATTTCCTCCTCTAGTTTCACCGCAAATGTGAATTATCCACCTTGTGCGATGGTGGGGAGCTCCGAGACCATATTCTGCTGCCCACCTCGATATGCCCCATCCCCCGGGTGAGTGTGCCTGCCCCCGCCCGGGCCCTGGCTTCTCTGGGTTCACAGTTTAGATGGCAGCAGTGTTTAGACCATCACATCCCTCCCAGGGCTTCCCCAACAGCTCATAGGGTTTGGTTTGAAAGAGGCTGCATCAGCCAGAGGTGACAAGACCCTGAGGCAGAGGTTCCAGCTTCTGGTTCCAAGTGACCCATCCAGGAAGCGCACTGGTTCAGAGCATCTGGCAGGCTGACCTCAGGCAGGACCTCCACAGCACCTCTGAGCGACTCGGTGACTCCAAGCCTCTCTCCCCACTACCAACCTACTGCAGTGTCTCGGCCCTAGTTGTAAACAAAAGAATCCAAATTTAACTCCTTTTATCCCCACCTGAAACGTTTCCTATCTCCTGCCTTGACTGCTCTTTCAAACAAGCACCTCTCTTCTCTTGCCATCTTATAAAAATATTGCCAAGTCCCACTGATTCTATTCTCCCAACCTCAACTAGCTACTTAATTCATCTCAAAAATCTAAGAAAAACCACACCTTTAAAAGCTATCTGCCAATATCTACCAAGAAGGAAATACACAATCTCCCTAACAGTAATAATACTATGTTGCAGTAGGAAAAAACAAACTATGCTTAGATGTGAAAGCAGAGAATCACAAAGATATAAGATATAACACTAAACAAAGAAGGTGGGCTTTTTTAAAAGGGATACTCTGATTCCAGCTGTATAAAATTAAAAAGGTCAAGCAAAACCAGTGCGGTATGCACATGAGTGTGCATTGAAGAGGCAGCTGAATACATGCACAAAAATGCACCCAAAGGTACAATTTAGATTGAAGCATTTTATCGGCTGCTACATCAGCCTCCGTAAAATAAGTGCTGCACACTGGAGGAACACAATTAAGAACGACCAATGTCGTATCATGAGATGAAGCAAGAAGAGGGGCCAAGTGTAAGGCCTCGTTCTCGCAATTCAAGCTTCCCGATCAGCAAAGCAGATTTCTGCCCATTTCAGTACCATCCCACAATGTCCCTTGCCCACGTCTGGAGGTTAAAGTCACCACGAGGGGTGACAGAGCCGGAGGAGTCCTGCAGAAATGCACAGCAGGCACACTCTGTTTTTGAGACCCAAAATCTCGCTTTGAAAACCTCCTCCCACTCTGCCAGCCTTCTAATCTCTCCTGATATTAGCCATTTGGTTTTATCTGAGCCTTTCCCACATGTCAGACTTTTGTTTTGTTTGGGTTTGGGTTTTGGGTCGTGTGTCTTTGTTTTGTTTTTTCCTCCAAAAGACGGTTGTCTTTCCTCTCTCCTCACAGGACAGGCAAGGTGGGAGGTCCGACAGCAGCAGCACTACAGCCAAGGGTGACCTTGTAATGCAGGTACCTCACGAGCCCGTGGTCCGGGCGCTCATCCGGAGGGGGTCCAAGGCTGCGGAGAGAGGATGGGGTTTGGGTTCAAAAGAAATGTGTCTCAACATGTGCTTTCTCATCTGATCGATTCTGTCACACAGGAGGACACTTTATTCCCGGCCTCTGGAGTTACCTTTGACTGCCACACTGTAGGCAAGTGGTGAGAAGGGAGGTTGGCTGATCCCACTGCTGGTCAATTGGCTTTGTCACCTCGTTAGGAGCAAGTTACATAAAACTTCGATATGCAAACCTCCCAAACAATAACAAAAGTGTGGCCTAAGAGTAAACGATTGGTTTCCCAAGACTGCCGCGCTGGCTCTAGAATCTAGTGTGTCAAGACAGAGCTAACCAGATCTGAAAAGTTCTTCATCCTTAAGTGTGAATTTAAGTTCCAGGAAGGGCAGCCTGGTGAGGTACAGAGTTCTAGAAAAGGAGGCAGGAAACCCAGCCTCCTCCTCTTCCTTAGAGCCTTGGTCTCCTTGTTTGGAAAAAGGGCACAGGGATCCTGTACCCTGCCCGCCTCCCAGAGTAGCTTTGGGATTAACTGAGAGCTCGCAGATTGGTGTGTTTTGGTGAAAATTAAACATAAGACATAATGATGGGGGGGCGTGAATAGGTGAGAAAGTGCTGAACATCTACAGGGACAGCGAGTGAAATGGAACACGCACTCACACTCACACACACCAACGCAGGAGCACCAGTTGTTTACATCAGGCATTCTTTGGGTTTGAGATCTGGTAAGGCGGGCAACAGATGCTGCTTATGGACCAGACTCGCATCTGTCCCGCTTTTATTCAGCTGAATCCACAGGTTTTTACTGAGTGCCCACTCCTGGCTCTTATGTAGGAGAGCTAGAGCCATGCACACCCTCGCCCTGCGCCTGCTACATTTAAAATCCGGTCAATGCCTTGAGATGTCATCTGAGCAATTAAAAACAAGACAAAAACAAACACATTTGAGCAACCAAAGACACTCCCGAAGATGCTATCAGTTCCAAGCCCATGTGTTTTAGTGGCACAGATCCAGGGGAACTTCATAGAGGAGATGGCACCCAAATGGGGCCCTGAAGAGGAGAAGTTGTTTTGAGTTTTTCTTTTGTTTCTGTTTTTGTTTTTTCGAAGAGGTTACATCGAAAAAAGTGAGCGTGTCAGGAAAGAAGAGGAGACCAGTGCGAGCAGACACACGGGAGGGAATTCAGGAACACAGTCACTGGAGCGTACGAAGTCAGCAGAGGGTTAGGAGGAGGTGACCGCAGTAGGACCGGGCTAGACTGAGTGGGCCTGGGCACCAGAGGTCCAGACTTTCTCCTCTGTTCAGTGAGGTATCATTAAAGTGGCAGCGGCAGCCCTGAGAGGTCACCACACTCAAGGAGGCAGCAGACAGGGCTTCCCTGGGGCAAAGAGCCCCAGAGGCAGAGACTCCGAAAGGAACTTTGCAGGCCAGGGCTCGGCAGGCCAGGATCTTCCCTGGATGCGTGGCTGAATACACTCAGGCCCCCAGGAGAGAGGATGTGTCTCAAGGGAAGGGAAGAGGAGTCAGATCGGGACAGGTTCACTCGGCCCTGTGGCTCAGCCATCCAGCTGCAGGGCACCCGCGAGGCAGGGAGAAGTGTGGGGCCCGGAACTCAGGAGGAAAATTGGGTCTGGAAATACGGATGTGGAAGAGGCGAGGGCGGAAGTGACTTTTCGCTCCATGAACGTAAACGTATTCGTGTGTATGACCACACGGCCCTAACTTCTAAGAGTGTATTAAGTTGTGTCCCTCACACAATTTGACCTTGTGCTGCGGGCACCATGCCACACCCTTGTTGAATGATTTGAAGCTACAGTGCCATTGCCCCATCTCTGACCCCAGCCTCCAACCCTCATTGCCGTGAACACTCTGTAAAGGCCACTTGAGCTGGAAACACTCAGCTGCTTTGCCCCTCGAAAAACTCAGCCAGCGGACCAAGACCCACCTCCCTGATCGCCTCTCCTCCATGCCTGGGCCTGCTTTCATCCACCTCTCTGGTTCTGTCTCGGCGTCGTCTCTCTGAGCTCCCTCTCACTGAACAAAGCAGAACTCATTTCTTTCTCTTTTCCCTTTAAGTATAAGATCATCCCCACCCCGGGGACCCACCCGCTGCTGGTCTTGGTGAACCCGAAGAGCGGAGGGAGACAAGGAGAAAGGTATGTTCTCTTCCTTTACACAGCAGAGGGACCCAGACCCCTCGTACCCCTGGACCACAGAGAGTGAACTCTGTAACTATGGAGATGGAGACCCGGGCTCCCATCCTAGCACCACCCAGCCCAAGTAGCTTAATGACCTCGTGCCTCCATTTCTTTCTTTGTAAAATGAGATAATGTTTCTGCTCATTTTATTTTAAGAATTAGAATTAGCCCAGGGACTGTCACATGAGCCACTGCCAAGGCTCCGGGGGACTTCCGAGAAGCTGGTTCCTTCTTAGCCTCCAATGCCTTGGTTTAAGAGGCGTGATGGTACTCACTGCTTGGGACCTCCTGGCCCGTCCCCAATCCCAAGCAGGTGGAACACCCACCTCATCCGTGAAGAAGCTATAGAGACCACTAAGCAGAGTGAGGAGAGAGGGACAAAAGGGCCAAAGCAATCCTGCCTCCCAAGTCTGTCCCAGAGTAACAAGCCGATGACACATTTGCTCATCTAAAATCCTGCCTTTAAAACAAAGAAGAAATAAGGATAAAGTAAGAACTACCTGAGTCCAGGGGGCAGGACACCCCTCCTGCGCTGGAGCCCAGAGGCGGCCGTTGCTTCTCAGCCCCAGGCCTGCCTCCCCTGCATTCGCCCTAGGAGCTGGGATGCAGGGTCCTCTCCGCAGTTCTCCGAAGCCTTGGGACAGTGCACGAGAGGCAGGATCCCATGGCACAGACCACAATGGCGTTGGGCACCAGGTGTCTGTGCAAGAAGCGCCTGTCCTCTGGGCTTCTCTACCCCGTCCCCTGCAGGGATGTGGCTTCTAGGGTGGGGGCCACAGTCTTAGATGAGCAGGGGCTGAGGATATCAGAATCTGCGTACAGGTCTCCTCTCTCGGTTTCACGAATGCACTGTCCCAGCGCTGGGGAAATGCGGAAAAGTGTTTGCCCTCATGTGACTTCACTTTCCCTTCCTTTCTGCCCATAGAATTCTTCGGAAATTCCACTACCTGCTCAACCCCAAACAGGTTTTCAACTTGGACAATGGGGGACCTACTCCAGGGTATGATCCTCCTCCTCCTCCTCCCTCTCCTCTTTAGTCTCTGAAGAGAGTCTCATCTCTGGACTCATTTCCCCAGCCATCTGACACCCTTGCTCTCCTCTGTCTCACATCCCACGCTGACTCCTTCTGGAGATGCTGGGGAACACATCCTCACAGCTGATTGAGGAGTGGCCCCTGTACCTTGTCCACTCAAAAACTTGTTGATTTTGTGAGAAGGGAAAACTGCATATACTATGTATTTGATTGTGGGGGGCTGGTGACTTATTTGGTCTTCTTGGCAAAGCTGTGTGAGCTGCTGTCTTCATGGTCCCTCAGAGGAGAGAGCGTCCCTGTAATGCGACGTCCCTCCAGCAAAGGTGGGAGGCGCGGAAGACTAGGTTGGCGGAGTCTGCTGTAGCGCCATCTGCTGGTCAGTCTCGGCCTGTGCTCTCCCCGCGTGTGGACGAAATTTAATCCCCTCTTAAGGGTCGTTTGTCTTCTGGATTCCCCAGGGGCCGGTTTAGTAAGAATTCTAAAAACAGAATCTGTCCTCCTCGTCTTCAGCTGTCTGACACAATTCTGCTATTTATAGCAGTGGCATTACAAACCCTGTTACAAAGAGAAAGATAGGTGAATACCAGTACTCCTGCCATGATTTACCTGTAAGATGAACCTCACAACAGGGCCCACCTAGTCTGCTGCGGTTGCTGTCATGGTCCCCGTGACTGCCAATTACTGCTGGATAGCACAGCCTTGTGCCCAAGCAGCAGCCCACAAACGCCTGGAGGCTATTTCTGTACTTACACGCAGTCCTCTAGTTCAGCTTTATCCTAAATTGTCATTACTGTGTCTGACAAACTGGTCCTGGCTTCCGGGGCGGGTGGATCCTGAGTGTCTCTGATGTGCTTGTCCGTCTGTGATCAGACAGGGAGTTCACTGTCAGAGAAGTGGAAAAGAGGGAAGTGAATCTGATTTGCCTACACAGGCATCAGGTGGCGACTCAGGGAGCCCTGGGGGTCTTCTCAGGCCACCAGCCTGGGCACAGGGGCGGCCTCAACCTTCAGCTTCCCCAGTCCACCCCCAAGGGCACCACAGGGCAGTTAGTTCTAAAGCAGGGATTCTTCACCTTTGTGTGCCACAGACCCCTTTGGTGACCTGACAGATAACTGGGGAAATGAATTAGGTTTAGAAATAGTTATCAAGGGGCCGGGGATTTCGCTCAGTGGTTCCACCACCTGCCTCACAAGGGAAAGGTCCTGAGTTTGATCCCCAATGCCAAAAAGAAAAAAGCTATCAAAACATTTAAAAACAAATTTGCAATATGGAAATGTACATACTTTACCAACACATTATTTAGCAATATTCATAGTCTAATAACTACTGTGAAATCAAAAGTGATGAACAAAAAAGGGAGAACTCAATGCATGCCACAAGTGTCATAAAACATTACCTGTGATTTTAACTGCTGAGGAAGTCACAGGACGGTTCATAGCTCTGTGATTTGTTGCCCACACTCAGAGTGTGAAGGAAATCCTAGACTTCAGCAGATGCTTAAGGAACACATGAATGTAATTTTTCTCCCTTGAGTTCATGGCCCTCTGAATTCTACGCACAAGTCCCCTGGAAGTTGATGGCACCCAGGTAGAGAGCCCAGTCCAAAGGGCTCCGGCTCCTGGGGGCAGCAGGATGCAGGCCCCACTTAGCTCTGTGCCCACAGAAGAGTGAAGTGAGGACCCAGCTACTTCCGTGAATCCTGTGCACAGGAGAAGTGGCACAGACAGCAGTCAGGAGAACCTGAAGGGGGTCAAAGACAGGGTTGGCTTCCTGGGACTTTTCTCACACTCTGTGGCACACATAGTGACTTCTGGATTCAGAACATTAAGTGACCTTCTCAACTCCCCAAAGAGTCAAGGTCTTACCCCCTGGGGAGCAGGGAGACTGACTCAGCGTGCATCTGATGTCAGCCACGGCCCAGTAACGAGGCCACGGTGGCCTTCCTTCTCTTTGCAGCCTGAACTTTTTCCGTGATACTCCAGACTTCCGGGTGCTGGCCTGCGGAGGAGATGGCACGGTCGGCTGGATTCTGGATTGCATTGGTAAGAAGGAGCGGGCAGGTTTCATGAGTACATTTGAAGTCAGCAGACGGCAATTAGAGAGAAACAGAGTCATATCCTGGTATCTGCCTTTGGACTAAACAGTTGATTTAAATGGGAAAAAAAAATCAAGTAAGACAACAGAAAGTTCCTGGTAGATACAGAAATAGCAGTTTGGTTGCAAGCTTTGCCTCTATTGTGGCCAGAGCTGGAATGGCAGCAGAGCCAGCAGATGTGAGGGAGTGGAAGGTCAGGAGTGGGGCACAGGAAGGTTCAGTGCTGAGAAGCAGCTGAAAACTAAGCACAGATGCATGGCCAGGGCAAACTGCCCGGAGATGAACACCGGGAGCAGGGTCCGAAGAACACATCTGTACAATACGAAGTGGCACAAAGAAAGGCCAGGCTGGCCTGCATCCCGCATACCTGGATCGAAAGGGCAGCGAGGGGAACCTGCATCCAGAGTTGCCGCCCGGCCCAGATCCACTGGCCCAAGGGCACTTGGCACCCAGAAAGTGGGGGCTGGCAGAGAAAGCTTGCGATCTGTGGTCTCAAAATCTACAGACCTAGGGAAATGCTGTGCAACTGAGGACTAGAAAGGAGCACTGGGGAGGGGAGTCACCGAAGCGAGGAGCGGCCTAGAGCCATGAGCCTGGGCTGCGTCCCAGGCTCCTCACTCGCTCCACGGAGGCGGCTGTGCATCCATCTGTGCCAACCCCCTCGGGCCCTGGGGCTGCGGCAGTGAGCACGCAGGGGAGGCCCTGCCCTAGAGGAGCTCCTGTCACACGAGAGCAGGGCAAGGAGAGGAGGAGGGAGGGAAGGAGGGAGGGAGGGAAGGAGGAAGAAGAGAAAAGAAAGGAAATAAGGAGGGAAGAGAGGGGAGGGGGAGGAAGGAAAGAAGGGAAGGCAGAAGGACGAGTGAAGGAAGGCAGGAAAAAGAGAGGAAGGAAGAAAGAGAAAGAGAAAAAGGGATAAAGGAAGGAAAGGGGAGAAAGAAAGAAAGAGGGAAGAGGGAAGGGAAAAAGAAAAACAAGAAAGAAAGAAGTAGAATGCCAGAGAATGATCTAAAAACTTGCAGGAAAGGGGCACAAGAAGCCTGGCATGGGGTTAAAATGGGCTGTAGTCTCAAACCCAGCAGTCAGAAAAGTCTTCAGAGGGAGGAGGAAAAAGTTGCTTGCATGGAGAATTGGAGGAGGGGTGAGCTGAAAGAAGAGCAGTCCAGGAAGGAGAAACCACAAGTGCAAAGGCCCTGAAGTAGGAGCAGGGTAGGGTAGCGAAGGCAGGTCAGTGTGGCCAGAGCAGAGTACATGCAGAAGGTATTATAGGGAATAAAGCAGAGGTAGTGAGGGTTCAGGTCATACTGACCTGTAGGACATTACGTGGATCGTGGTTTCTGTTCTGGGAGATCCCAAGATGTCAGCAGAGGAGGAGATGACAGACCAAGAGAGGAGCAGAAGCAGGAAAGCCAGCCAGATGCCCACTGTGGCCACACAGGGTACAGGTGATCAGGGCTGGGCCACAGCAGAAACCGTGGGTGGAGAGACTTCAGTGCCGGATACTGGATGTCTCTGAAGGTGGGGGGCAACACAACTTCTGAGAGCCCCCATGTGGAGACGAAAGGAGGAGAGAAGTCACTGGTGGGCCAGGACCAGACCCGGGTAGAGCGGACCTGCAGCGCGGGTCAGGAGGCACCTGACTCCGCTCCTCCACAGCGCTCGGTTTCCATGGACACAGCCCTGCCAGCAGCCACCCACACTGTCACCTCGCTGCCGAGCAGTGGGAGGAGGGCAGGGCCTGGGGAGCGAAGAGGAGGAGGCAGGGGCTGCGGTGTGGGCTCCATGCTCGGCCCCAGGCCCCTCTCTGTCACCAGGGAGAGAGCTGGCTGCGTGAGAAGTTCCCTGACGTTCATCTGCAGAGAACACATTTGACAGAGGCCTCTCAACGTGGGGGGTGGG